GGCCCCAGTTGGTGTCCGAGGGTCATCCATTGGTGTCTAATGGCCATCAAAAGGCCCAAAAACGATCCTAAGCTGGCGTCCAACGGTCCTCAGCTGACGTCAAGAGACCCTCAAAAGGCCTCAAAGGCCCCTCGACTGCTCAAAGGGCCCTTAGAAGGCCTCAATGGGAACTCAAGAGACGTTAAACGGCCCTCAAAAGGCTTGAAAGGGCCCTCTGCTGGTGGCAAAGGGCTCGCACCTGAGTCAATAAGAGCCTTGTCAAAAAACGGACCTGAGAAACCTTGCCGGCCTGGTTATCTGCGGGACTCCTACACTTACCCGAGTGGCCCCCGTTTACTGAGGGGCCCTGGTTATTGATGGGGTCCCTGGTTAGTTAAGGGGCGCCTGGTTACCAGAGGGGCCCATGGTCACCTGGTGGGCCCCTGATCAATTGAAAACCCCTGGTCATCTGAAACGCCCCTGATTACCTAAAGGGTCCCATCACTTGGATTCAGTTACATAGCAAGGGAGCGAGGGGGTACGTGCCCGTTCTCGGGTTTAGGGTTCCTTCGAAACCGAGGGGCCCTGCGGCGCCAGTTGGTAGCAGAGGGTTCGCGCTGGCCGCACTTCAACTCGGAAGGACACCACAGGGCTTGTGGGGGGACGTTATTGGCTCCTATGTAGCCACAATTATCTTCATAAAGGCCCAATGCCGGTTTCTGAGAGACCTCGCCGGCCGCTCAGGGCCCTAAGTAGTAACGGCCAACGAGGGATTGGCTGCTATGGCTCCACATCCGTCTGTGATAGACACACGGTCCACACCAGTGTTTCTAAAGGCACCCACAACGGCAACTGCGAGGCCCCTCGCTCCACCTCCAAGGGACCCCCACCAGCGCATCTTAAGGGCCTACATCGGCGGCTCTGAGAGTCCCCACACCGACGCCTCTGAGGGCCACGTACCAGTGACTCCGAGGGCCTCTTACCAGCCTCCGAGTGTCCTTGCCAGCCTATGACGGGCCACTTTCCACTTGCAGGCCATTTTGCAGGGCCACACACATGCCAATGATGGCTCCACCAGTGTCTCTAAGCCCTAAGACCCCGCAACGGCGCCTGTGAGGACCCAACACCAGCGCATCTGACGGCCTTTCACTGGCACCTCTGAACGCGCCACACACCGGTGACTCTGAGGAGCTCGCTCGCTTCGCTCGCTCGCAAAATACCATGTAAATTAGGTATTAGTGTACATTAGGCACACTCCTCGGGCATAAATGATACTTTTGCTTGCCAATTTTCCACATTTTCTCATGCAAAGACCGTTTTAAAGAGACCCGTCTGCCAGTGAGACTAGACCCACCGTGCCTCCCTCCTCCCATCGAAAGGTCCTGGGTACATCCTTGCCTGAGCTGACCCCGGGCGCCCGGGTGACTCGCGGGCCCGGGGTCAGGTGACCAGCAGGTGACCCCCTCTTGGGCGAAATTCTGGGTACGTGTCCGACATGCATCGTACATAGTCCTGTTGATTTGATTCATTGATTGATTCATTGATGAATCATTGACTGATTCATTAAATATAAGTTATAAGCTGGATCTCTAGTCTGTTATCCCGCATCGTATCAGATATAACGACATTTCATGTCGATGTGCCTAAAAAAATATGCGAATATACGTGAAAAAGGAGTGCTGCTCCCGCTCCTACACATCCGGGCCAAACAGTGACCGGCCCCTGCTTCTAGCCACCCGGGGCCGGTCAGCCGGCCGGCAGTCAGTCGCTGCCCGGGGCTGATTTCTGAGGGACCTGCAAAAATGTTTAGTAATGAAATGTTTTACGAAATGAATTAGATGATTAGGTATATGTACCGGCTCTGAGTCGCATTTGAGAAAAAAGCAGCCTAGCGTAAAAATATATATGTTTTGAAAATTAAGCTGGTACCGAAATAATTGTTTTACATGCATTGACAAACCAATTGCTCAAGCTTCAAACCAACCGAAATATAGCCCCGTGGGCCGTATTTTTTTTTGGGGGGGGGGCCCTTCGGCATGGGGGGCCCAGTTCGAAGGTCGTGCCCCCCTCCCCATTCAAAAATCCTGTGTGCGCGCCTGTGTGAAATGACTGTTAAATGCACAAATGATACCTATCGCGCTCAGAACTGCAGGGAATAATAGAGGAAATAGAATAAGTTGTCCACTAAATAAAATAAGTAAAAAGTACAAGGATGGTCGAGGTCAGAATTCGCTCTTACCAAAGTTGTTTACGCAGACCCTGATTTCCTGCGTCTGACCCAGAAATTACGGAAGGATTATGAAGTCAAATTTGAACGTGACCGTCAAAAGCAGATATCCCGCGCCCTGCTGGGGGGGGGGGGGGTGTTTGAACACCCCCCCTTGTGGTTTTTCGCGAATATCTCGTTTTTGGTACACCTTACCATACATCAATTCTACACATGTTGTGAAAATTTCAGACCAAGGTCATTCAAGGTCAGGTCACCAGGTCACTTGAAGTGACCTCACCTCATAAAAACTTTCAATGTCTGTCATAGCTACACCGAGTGACCGATCGCTTTGAAACTTACAGCGATTGCTAAGAGCAATAGCATGTACAAAATGTATATCTCAGAATTTTGATATCGATGACCTAAGGTCAGGTCAATTTTGTGACCTCCCCATTATAAGTCAATGGGAGAAAATTGAAATGCGCCTCTTTTGGATGAAAGACATTATAAACACTCCCAAACACCGAATTACAAGTGTTTTAGACACACTGAACTTGAAAATGGTGTCCGTGACCCTTGTTTATGCCCTGAGGTCATCTTAGGTCACGAATGGTATCTAACAGTTTTTCGCAAATAACTTTTGATAGAGGCATGCTAGAGCGATGAAAACGCCTTAGATGTGTTCAGCTCGACGATACGGATCGACTGATATGCAACATGACCCTTTCCGGTCAGGTCATGACCTTGACCTGAGGTCAAATTTTCAAGTTGACCTTTCAAGGTCAAGTCATAGTTCATTCGATGCGTCTTGACGAGAGGAACACGATGCCGGTAAAAGTAAGCTCGTACAAGGCTTGGGTCAAAAGTTATTGCAGAAAAACTGTTTTCGAAAAAATCGGCTATTTTTGCAGTTTTTGCCCCCTGCAGGCAAAACCGTTGACGTTAGGTCAAATCTGAGAGAATAACTCAGAAAGGGCGTTAATAGGGCTATCGAATGCGCTTTTCCGCGGCGCTGTAGCTCTATTGGTTCTCGAATTACGCGTTGGCTTCTTGGAAATTTTCGACATTCGACCTGGAAATCGGCGAAATTTTGCCTTTAATGACCTCTGGTGACCTGACCTTTGACCGGACCAAAAAATTGACCGAAGTGATTTCGTCATTATTTTTTACGCTCTTTCGAACGCCGCCTTCTGCGTATCGCTACATGGCCCAGGAGCCGAGTTACAAGGGGGGGTGTTCAAACACCCCCCCCCCCCCCAGCAGGGCGTGGAAATCCAGGACCCCCAGCAGGGCGCGGGATATGGTTCGTCTCGCATCTAACCGACTGATTTCGACTGACTGCGACGGCTCCTGCACCAACCGCAGATCATCCCTTTAGAAGAAGCTTACACGGATCGCTGGTGCGATTGAACCCAGGCTCTGATGAGTCTTAGCATGGGGAAGTTGGAAGTTGCATGTAGAAGGTGGCAACTGAGCTACCCGGAAGACTTTTCAAGTTGCATTGGAATAAATAATAACTTAATAATGGACATAGCCTTGTAATAACTATGCCGCCAGCCCTTTTTGAAGTCGCACAAAGCGGCCTACCCACAATTTTCTGCGAATGCATTATTTCCACGCATGATGCTATAAGCTGTCAGCACCATTCGTGAGAAAGCGGGAGCAAAAGTACGATTGATGCATTATTAATGCAAGGAGCGTGCGCGAATTGAACAAATAATTCAGGAAATGCGTGAACACTTAGAGCGACCATCAGCCAAAGCGACAGCTCCCTCGTTTGTCCCTATTATGCCAGAACATCAGCGTCCATCATGTGGTTATCAGTTACCGCCGACATTTCTGATGGCTGGCACGCGTTTCCAGTGCAATAATCGTGCATAAAGCCACGTCATCAACAATGCATCGGCTGCCGTTCGGTTCGCCGTCATGGATGTGCGATAGTGCCTCTACCTTTGGTGGGGGCCTGTTCCCCCGCCACGGCCCTGACGCCTGTCAACAGACGATAGCCGGCCCAGCTGGCCGCGATTCATCAATATTCGGCGCGATTAGTTTTGGTGGTTCCCACCGTTCCCACGGGTTGTTCGGTGGGCGGCGCCTCCGATACGGGTGTAGCGGCGCCGCGCCCCAGTCACCTGGGAACCACCGCGCTGACACCGAACTCATGAATCGTTTAGCTGTCGCACAGCGCTGTTTGAGGACAAATGAAGATTGGAGAGGCTGAATAAAAAAGTGATTGACGGTTAAGTTTTTGCGAGCGTAACCAAGACAAGAGCCCATCACAGCATATTTAAGTTAATTGGGAATCGGTTTGCTATTATGGTGCACGGTATTTTAAAATACTGGTACCAAAATGAGTACAAATGGTGCATTAGGGACAAGTTATGAGTAGATAGATGAAGCATCGGAGCACATTGCCTCTATGCATTGAGGAAACCGATGGGAAAATCGCATGACTTCGTCCACGTATGCCTATCGGAAGGAATTTAGTACGACAAAGCAGGTAAGTACAACACAAAGGTCATGACGCTAGGTTCAGCGTACCGGCTTAATTGACCACTTTAGATACTTTTTAGCCAAACTTGCATCAAAACTTATTTGAACATATATAACGGATTGAATATTTTACACCAACACCAGCATCAATGTGAGCTATGGGTATGGTTGGCTTCAGTCTTCAGAAAAAGCATCGTGAGATGTATGTTGGCTTCATGATAACCGTATGGAAGGTTTCAAAGATATAGATATCAGAGTGAGCTCTGTAAGATTGGTTTCAGAAATGTCAGCGCGCGCTATGTGGTTTGTTTCAGGCACCTACTACGGCACCTGTATCGGCGTCCTTACGGCAAACATCATGGCGTCGATTATCGTCCTCAACATCCAGTACAAGGGCGTCTGGGGATTCCCAGTTCCCAGCTGGCTCAGGTGAGAGTAGATCGTGAACAGTTTCAGCCAGTCACTAGGACAAATTTACATTTCGAGCTCTTCTCTCGAGATGTAGATACAATAGATACTTATGGCTCTTTGGTTTTCATTACCTGAAGAAAGGGACTGTTACACACTCACTCTGCATGTCCCAAATGTTATAATTTTTTATTGAATATAAAATACCAACCCTTCAGTTTTCGTCAACCCTTCACGCCGCACAGCAACCCTTGCCCTTGGCAATCAGAGTGGCATTCATAAAAAACAATACAAGCAATGTTTGACTTATTATTCCCCAAGGACAGGTAACGGCAATTGCCTTAGATAATTCCCGAATGCCTATATTGTGCCACGGCACGCAACCAGTCAATCCCGACCAAGCCATCAACGTGGCTGCATGTTACCTACCAGAAATGGGATTAGTTTCTTCAGATTTTCGTTGTCGGTAAACGCTGGCATGTTTGCAGACTAATAGAGCCCACTAAGTAACAGCTTATCGCGTCCTGTCAAACAGAGAAACAACAAAACAAGCGAAGTCTATGTAACAAAAACCTGCGACCAATCAAAAACAAAAATGATGGAACAAAAAGAAAGTGGATAACCACTAAAAATTAAATGGCTACATTAGACGAAACAACATATTTAAAACAAAATTTTCTTTGCAAAAATCATCGCTCGCAATCATGAAAACCGTGGGCGCGATTCACATAATTGTAACCAAGGCGCTATCGCGATCAGACGGCCTTAGCACCCAACTTGCGGCACAGGGTGCTCGTTGCGTTGAGCTACAATATCCCTTGCTGACTGACCCTTCGGTGACGTCACAGGGTCGTCATGTTCGACGTCCTGGCTCGCGTTCTCTTCATCTCAGTACCTCCGCGGATCAGGCAAACGCAGGTGTCGCCTCAGCAGACCAGAGAGTCATCGGTGAGTGACGTGGAGCGACGAGTTAGGCTGTGAGGGTGCCCCCGGTGCCCCCTCTCGCACACATACCCAATTACCCATGCTTACTGCATAAATCGTACAAAGGTGTGCGTGCGCCGGCTCAGTTGACCGCTCGCAGAAGTAAATGGACGACTGTAGGAGAGCGATCGACTTGTGCGTGAAGCGATCATGATGTCAGGGCGACCGCCAGTGCCGCCGGCCGCTGACAGGCCAGCCAAGATGGATCTAGCCGCCACCTGTCAGCGGTTTTGTCATAGGCAGCGCGTTCCCACACTCCCACATGGAATGTTTTGGGCGCATTTATCGCGGTTTGGTCCAGTGCAGTGGGAGCCGTGGTGCTGTAACTCACGTGATGGTTGACACGTGGGTGGGATACGCGTGAGTGGAAAAGGTGATGGCATTGAAAACGTGGAGCGAGATAATGTGGGACGGGCAAATGGGTGTATTGAATCGAGAGGTTGTCATGCTACTATACAGCGTTTATTTATTTTTTAACTTGTAATAGATAGATAATAGCTACATACAAGCATAAAGAATAATGTTATCGGCTGTACTAACAATGGCAATTCCAAGCCCCATGTCTGATGATGCCTGCTATTTGCTAAGGTCATTTGCCTCAGGCTGCATCCGACACATGAAAATGCAGATAGCTTATTCGTAACCCGGGCAAAACCTACCTTCCGTTCCAAAACAGAGGAAAAAATGTTTGACACTGACGGTTTGAGCAGCAGCCACTTGAATTATTATAAAACATCGCCTGAAGTTTGCATTTGTCTGTTTTCGTCTTTCATCAAAAAGATGGGTCATTCGGCAACTCCCGCTTCGTAGGTCAAGTTCGTAGAACAGATTTACTTTGAGTTGAGCTACCGATGTCTGGCCAGTGGGCTGGTATCAGTCTCGCGAACAAACCACCTTTTTCAAGGTTGACTGACTGCCGTGATGTGCGCCGTCTACATATAAGATAAGCTTAAAGCTACTGATGCATTATAGATTGAACAGTAACCGTTGACTGACGCTTTTAGGAAGCTTGGGGACCGGTAAAAAGCAACAGAAAGGTAATTTGTGTGGGGTGTAACGTGTTCGTCTGTGTGGGGTGTAGAAGTATCGCCTGACTTCCAGTTCACTGGTCTTTTGTTGGTTAGTGTTCGCAATGTCCTCATGTGGCTTCGGTAATCTGGTGCATTCTTAGCTGGCACCATTGGGTGTGTGGCTAGTGCAGTATGTGGCTAGTATCGGGCTGCATGGCTCGCCGCATTGGCATATTGTACGCTGCTTAGCCTTAGATGCGTAACAACACCAAGTGTGTGAATATTCGTGCTAAATGCTTATGTCTCATATTGTAGGTTCCAACCTCCAGCATGATGCATTTAGTACTTCCTACCGTTCCGAGCGCTGTAATTATGCTTTATGTATCGTGACTGATGGTGCTTTCAGATGTAGGGGAGAGTGGGGCAAAGCGGCCACCCGGGGCAAAGCGGCCATCCATCGTTTTAGCCCTCCACAGCTGGCGTCAGTTCCAATTTATGATTTCCAATTATACTTCTCTTTGCGGTCGTTCGAATGAGCCAGACCGGGGTTTCAGGCCCATCGCCATTGTTCTGTGAAACACGGAAAAGCATTTCTTGCCAGGTTACCAATTATGTTTACAATTTTTTAAATGTTATTTTATTCCATAACCGTTTGGAATTTTTATAAGCGTTTTTGTCCATGCATTGCGTGGTTATCGTACATGCCTTCTACCAATTTTAATGCTTTTTTCCCCACTAATAGCTGAGCTGGAATATTTTTGTCTCGGACGGTATGCGCGGGGCAAAGCGGCCGGGGCAAAGTGGCCAGTCCCCAATTGGTCATAAGTTGTTTCCATCTGGATAAAAACATTATTTATATTCAAATGTGTCGTCATGCATTCATCTTGGCCACTTTTCGGTTACATGAGTTACCAAATTATGCAATTAAATGTTTTTCCAAGAAAATTCTTTCTTTGTTTAGCAATAGGTGGGAAGATAACAAAGTAAACATCCATCTTCCCTTAAACATTGTCACCATCAAATACCCTGGTCGTGCATGAGGCAACTATTCTGTTTCTCATATCGGGACTTGAGAAGTCGCCAGTGGCCGCTTTGCCTCAGGGATGGGGCAAAGTGGCCAATATGCTATAGGTTTAAAGTTTTGTCAATATCTCCCATATGTGAACGCCTTTGGAAATGAAACGCAGTTGGAATAAAAGACAATTTAATAGGGATCACATTGGTATAGAAAGAATCTTTCCAAGTTTAAAAATCAAGCGTCGGCATCGTTAGAAACGTTAGGGTGGCCGCTTTGCCCCACTCTCCCCTAATCTTTCACGCGTTATATGTTCATTATTTGACGACCGTGTTTGCTAACGTAAGTAGGCATTTCTACCCTGGGGTACGCGAGCCGTTGAGTATAGTAGTCTGTTGTAAAAGAAGCGCCTTTCTGGCGGTCAACCTAGACATTGAGATTGAATACCGGTCACGTGACAATCAGCCCTTACGTGGGTGGGTACTTGTGTCACGCTTGTGCAGATATAATTGCATTTTGTCATGCAATTGTACATCTGCAAGGTGAGCAAATCAATTAAATTCGATACATTTGAACGTTTTCTAGCTCTGAATAAACCTAATTTGTTTTTAACGTTTAACTTTCATTCATGCATGTTTCACAAATATTTTGTTCTGAAATCTGAATCCCGAAGTTTTGGTCTACCAAGCACAAGCATTATCGGATATTTGCCTGCAGCTGAATTAATAGCACCACAGACCCTAACCCCTGCATGACACCGACTGGGCGACCGGTGCCTCCAGGCGTCCATGGCCGACCAGTACCCCCAACGGCCGCGAACGGGTCGGGCGGTGCGTGATGACGGCTTCGTGAAGCGGCCCAGCCAGCGGCAGCTGGACGAGCTGGCGGCCAAGGTTCTCGGGCCGGCCACCACCCTGCATGTCCGCACCGACGCCGGCGGCGGCGATGATACCGGTGAGCGGAGGGCGAGCGGGGCTGGAAGGTGGGGAAGAGGTCGGGGTAGAGCGGGCTGAAGGTGGGGAAGAGGTCGGGGTAGAGCGGGCTGGAAGGTGGGGAAGAGGTCGGGGTAGAGCGGGCTGAAGGTGGGGAAGAGGTCGGGGTAGAGCGGGCTGAAGGTGGGGAAGAGGTCGGGGTAGAGCGGGCTGAAGGTGGGGAAGAGGTCGGGGTAGAGCGGGCTGAAGGTGGGGAAGAGGTCGGGGTAGAGCGGGCTGAAGGTGGGGAAGAGGTCGGGGTAGAGCGGGCTGGAAGGTGGGGAAGAGGTCGGGGTAGAGCGAGCTGGAAGGTGGGGAAGAGGTCGGGGTAGAGCGGGCTGAAGGTGGGGAAGAGGTCGGGGTAGAGCGGGCTGAAGGTGGGGAAGAGGTCGGGGTAGAGCGGGCTGAAGGTGGGGAAGAGGTCGGGGTAGAGCGGGCTGAAGGTGGGGAAGAGGTCGGGGTAGAGCGGGCTGAAGGTGGGGAAGAGGTCGGGGTAGAGCGGGCTGAAGGTGGGGAAGAGGTCGGGGTAGAGCGGGCTGAAGGTGGGGAAGAGGTCGGGGTAGAGCGGGCTGGAAGGTGGGGAAGAGGTCGGGGTAGAGCGGGCTGGAAGGTGGGGAAGAGGTCGGGGTAGAGCGGGCTGGAAGGTGGGGAAGAGGTCGGGGTAGAGCGGGCTGAAGGTGGGGAAGAGGTCGGGGTAGAGCGGGCTGAAGGTGGGGAAGAGGTCGGGGTAGAGCGGGCTGGAAGGTGGGGAAGAGGTCGGGGTAGAGCGGGCTGAAGGTGGGGAAGAGGTCGGGGTAGAGCGAGCTAGGGCGGGGAGGACAGGCTGGGATTGAGCGAGCTTGACTGGGCTGGTTAGGCTGACAGAAGACTAGGAGATCGGACAGGTCTGAAAGCAGGGAAAACGGAGTTGCGGTGTACCGCAATACTTATATCAGGAACACCAAATACTATATATAGTACGTATCACAGCAAGCACATTACCAGTGCCATTAAGCGTCGGGAGTAGAATTGTGTGTTGCGTTTGTTTGTTTGTTTGTTTTGTTGGGTTAGGCCCTTTCGGTCGACAAGACCATTGCAGAGCCGGAAGGATGATAGGAATTAGGGGGAGACATTGGTCTGGGCAGACACCCTAGTGAGTCGCCGGGGCTGAGCCCGTCCAGAGGACAGACCACCCAGCCCCAAGGCACTCACTGCACCCGGCTACGAGGTGCGCTCCCTCGGGAGCAGCGGTGCAGCTCCAAGGGAGCAGCCCGCATGAGATAAAGTTGCCTGTCCAGCCCGGAAGGGGGTTGTGGCGTGGAGGAAAAGGATTTCAGTATCCTGAGGATAGAAGCACGGACAGGTGTGTGTTGCGGTACAGTATAGCTACAGGCGTTTTACTAGTGCCATCTAGCGTCAAGAATAGTGATGCAATGCGGTACAGTATGACTGCAGGCGCTCTATCAGTGCCATCATAGTGTAATAAATAACCGGTTATTATTATTTATTACACTATGGTGCCATCTAGCGTCCGGAATATAGTAATGTGTTGCGGTACAGTATGATTGCAGGCGCTTTACTAGTGCCATCTAGCGTCGAGAATGTAGTAATATCTTGCGGTACAGTATGACTGCAGGCGCTTTACCAGGTACTATACCTAACCTACTATAAGGCGCTCCAGTGCTATCTAGCGTTGGGAACGTAGTAATGTCTTGCGGTACAGTATACTCACAGGCGCTTTACCAGTACCATCTAGCGTCGATAATTTAGTAATGTGTTGCGGTACAGTATAACTGCAGACGCTTTACCAGTGCCATCTAGGGACGAGAATATAGTGTGTTGCGGTACAGCATAACTGCAGGCGCTTTACCAGTGCCATCTAGCGTCTGGAATAAACTATAAAGCACAGTAATAACTGCATTGCGGTACAGTATGGCTGCAGCCTACAGGCGCCTTACCAGTGCCACCTAGCGTCACGGATATAGAAATGTACTGCGGTATAGTATAACTGCAGGCGCTTTACTAGTGCCATCTAGCGTCAAGAATACAGTGATGTGTTGCGGTGTAGTATTATGGAATTGTCTGCCATTTAGCTTTTGGAATAACTTCATGTTATGCGGAACAGCATTCACCCAGGCGCTAATCATTAAAGGGACTACCCCACCTTTAACATGGGGTTTGAGTTGAGATAGCCGAGTTTGCGGCGAGGTTCAGAAACCACTATCTATCTAGGTTGCAACCCCCGCGACCTCTTGGTGTTGAAGAAATTCGTTCCCTTCATTTGAAAATGGGCCTTGTACAAGACCCTATCTTCAACATGGAGCGACCGCTAGCATGGGTGGAGAATGTTTGAAAAAGTTACCCCGGCCGGCGACCGAAAGTCAGAAAGACGATGATGCACAAATATTTGTCAACGGTTATCAACAAACCCCTATTCTGTGGCATGGAACAATGGATGTCTGCCATTACGAGTTATCCAATGTTTTATTTGCAGTGATTTAGCTCGAATTTTTTAATGGACCGATTGACAGAGCCGGGGGCCCACGCTAAGCAGAGCTTGTTGCGTATACACTGTAAAAAATATTGACGAGCTGTGTGTCAAAACAAGGGTCTCGAAACAGTCACCAGGTTGTCAATGCTTCCGGTACCTACCACTTGACCAGTTACCGCTTAGTTAGCTTACAGGCTGAGAACTATCCAGATCGTTATGATCCGGTATTGTAATGATACCCTAGGTGTACCTTTGTTTTGAAGTGCTGAATTAACTATCAAGGTTGTTTGACGTTTGTTTTCGCCTCAATCCGAAACGAGGAAGACCCTCATCAAATTATTAGGTGAAAGCCAGCCTCAGGATGATCAAAATACTAGGGGTAGTTTTGTCATAGTAATCTGTGAAGGGTGAGGAACAAGCCGTAGCAATGCACTCGTCACTAAACCAGCCTGAGATTATTCGCCAGGTAGCTGCTGCGTTTCCCTACTTGCTGAATCATGTTAGCAACTTTCCATTTCCAGACACTTTTTACGGCAAATAAATTGTTGGGTTATTTGGAAGGTGAATGACAATTTTATTTCTATAAGTCAATACATTTGTATTTCCGATTGCCCTAAAACTTTTTTTTTTAATCGTTTGCGGTAGGTTTTTATTGTTCGCAATAAAGTTGCGCACCTGTGAATCCTTCACATAATGCGTTCCCGGCTTCCCGGCGCCAGTTGCGCTGTGCCGTGCCGCGTTCGGTCGGGGGTGCGAGCGTCTGTGAAGTGCGAGTGTTTATCACTGGGCAAACCTGTATCGTTTCCATTTGTGCAGTGTCTAGTTATGAAGAATTGCTTGCCGATATATGACCTGCAGTGATCGACGTTCTGATTCAATAACTTGCCATAAGCCATTATTCTCAACCAAATCGCGCAGAGACGTTTGCAAAGTTGTCGAGGGGGGGGGGGGGGGAACAAGAGCGATTTTAAATGAATTGCTCTCCATGCAGTGCAATAGGACTTAGGTTTAATTTTTCGAAAGTTGTGGTGCCGCCCCCGGTGTCCGGCCTGGCCAACTCTCTCAAGAACCGACAGCTAACGGAACACTGAAGTTTCACTACGACGATTTCCGCCAAAGTTATGAAGAAAAGGCAAGTGCAAGAAGTACAAAACTTCTCTTGGTAATCAAAACTTAGGTTTGGCAAATTCCAAACCCTAAGTCACTACAACTGTGGATATAAATAAGCTGGTTATTGACGGCCAAGCTCTGGCCAATCTGAGGTTCAGACCTATCATCAAGTTCATGAGGCAGCTGCGGTTGGGTGGCTCACGGGCTCCATTGCATAGGCTCAGACAGGTACTCTACAAAATGTCTTCTGTGTTCTTAGGTTCAGATCTATCGATAGGTATGTGCATGCTTCTGATTCGATTGATAACTGGGGCATTCCACGATAGATCGTACCAGGCCCGTCACCCTCATCTCTCAGATTTGAATGAAAATTGGTACAAGGGGTAATCATAGGCTCCAAAAACACCTGCCAAAATATCAGACTTCTCAGATGAAAACTTTTTGAGTTACATTGCATAATATTTTCTAAACTTCAGATTGTAAGGGTGAATTTGATGAGCTATAACTCAAAAACAAGCTAAGCAAGCAACAAACGGTAAACAGCTTTGAACTAACGATGAATCAAAGATAAATACAGTATTTTAAAATTGGAAAGAATAGCTTTACATGTTGAAAAAAGGTGTAGTATATTTTTAAATTGTCTATAATGGCCCTTGGGACCAAAATTTTTGCCATTTTTATTTCTTCAAAATAAACCTCAGGTCCTTTAAAACCGACACGCAAAAAATTAGAAAGGTGTTCTTTCTATAAGATCCTCATTTAAATGTATACAAAATGGGTTTCCGGGGGGTCGATACGACCCCAGCTCGCCGTTTCGCATCTAATGGAGCTAGAACCTTGCGGAAAAAAACGAGCATGTGCGCCGTTACAAGATGCATCGAATGATACCTTATTCGGGTTGATATGGTGACCCCTGAGGTCATTTCAAGTGACCCAAATTACGGGTCCGGTTTTTAATAGATAACTTCGCAACAAATGGTCGTAGAGCCGCGATTTTAGCATCTTTGTGTTTGCCTAGCTCCGGCGCGTCGAATGGTATACTGTTTGTTCTGGTGAGGTCAGCTTAAGTCGCTGACCTCGGGTCAGCACACTGCCGTGTATTTGGCTCCGCTCCCCGACCGGGCCGCCCAGCCGGCAGCCAGCCCCCGGGCATCACGTGACCGCCCGAGTCCGCGGCAAAGCCAACCAGCGCGGCGCTGGACAAACAGTGCCGCTGCAGAGATGGTTAACAGTCGGGTCAGGCCACGAAGCTGGGTGAATGAGATCATATTGCACATCATTCGATTCGCAAGTTCTTCCCGAGTCCATTGGTAGCTTTCCCGTCTCTCTAGCTCAATTTGATCGAGAGTTATTGACGAAAAACTCTTATGACCCTAGTGACGGACGAATGACGTCACGCAAGGTCAGCAATGCAAAAGTGAGGCAAAAATGACTTCAATTGAACTTTCAGTAACCAGTGGTG